CACTATGCTTTAGAAAAGTTCTGCTGGAGGGCCGGCCCATGGCTCACTCGGTAGAGTGCGGTGCTGAAAACACCAAGGCCATGGGTTCAGATCCCATATAGGGATGGCCGGTTTGCTCACTGGGTGACCGTGGTGCCGACAGCACCAAGTCAAGGGTTAAGATCCCCTTACCGGTCATCTTTTTAAAAAAAAAAAAAAAAGAAAAGAAAAGTTCTGCTGGAAAGTTGAGCTGAGCATTGATGAAATACCTGTTTCCCAGCTATGAAAGCCTTTTGGTTCTGATCAAATGAACTTTGACCACCTGAAAGACAGACATCAGTGACTGCATGTTAATCACCCCTACCCCAGAGGTGATGTCCTATGGTGCATATCTAAACATCCTGAATCTCTGACTGCATAGCCTTTACCTTCAATGTGTTGGTCCTGTTCATTAGTGTGAATTTTCCTGACCATGTCCATATTTGCCCTTGTCTTTACAATTCCTGATGGGTGTTCCATGCTTCCAACAATTCCTTCAGGTTGAGTCTGTTCCATGTTTCCTGGACCGTCAGGAGTTTTATGGAGAAAATCGTTCATTACAGGTATTTCCACAAGCTGACTTCTATCCAATACTTCTGGTGTTTCATTCTCTTTGGGAATTGTTTCTAGAATCTGGGACAGCTCATCTTTTCCCAATGTTTCTTGAAGTTGCTGTTCGTCAGCTGTTTCCACAAACTGACTTCCTTCCAATATTTCTGGAGATTCATTCTCTTTGGGAATTGTTTCTAGAATCTGGGACGGCTCATCTTTTCCCAATGTTTCTTGAAGTTGCTGTTCGTCAACTGCCTCCACAAACTGACTTCCTTCCAATATTTCTGGAGATTCATTCTCTTTGGGAACTGTTTCTAGAAGCTGGGACTGCTCATCTTTTCCCAATGTTTCTTGAAGTTGCTGTTCGTCAACTGCCTCCACAAACTGACTTCCTTCCAATATTTCTGGAGATTCATTCTCTTTGGGAACTGTTTCTAGAATCTGGGACTGCTCATCTTTTCCCAATGTTTCTTGAAGTTGCTGTTTGTCAGCTACCTCCACAAACTGACTTCCTTCCAATATTTCTGGAGATTCATTCTCTTTGGGAACTGTTTCTAGAAGCTGGGACTGCTCATCTTTTCCCAATGTTTCTTGAAGTTGCTGTTCGTCAACTGCCTCCACAAACTGACTTCCTTCCAATATTTCTGGAGATTCATTCTCTTTGGGAATTGTTTCTAGAATCTGGGACGGCTCATCTTTTCCCAATGTTTCTTGAAGTTGCTGTTCGTCAACTGCCTCCACAAACTGACTTCCTTCCAATATTTCTGGAGATTCATTCTCTTTGGGAATTGTTTCTAGAATCTGGGACGGCTCATCTTTTCCCAATGTTTCTTGAAGTTGCTGTTCGTCAACTGCCTCCACAAACTGACTTCCTTCCAATATTTCTGGAGATTCATTCTCCTTGGGAGTTGTTTCTAGAAGTTGGTCCTGTTCATCCTTTCCCACTGTCTCTTGAGGTTGTAGCTGTCTAAGTGTTTCCAGAGGTGGAATGTTCTCAGCTATTCCTATAGTTTTCATCTCTACGGCAATTTTTGGACTCTCATTACCATCCACTGTCCTCAAAGGCTGACCCTTGGCTTCTGTTCCCAAAGGTTCAGTCTCAGCATTTCCTTTCAAAGGCTGAGCCTCTGTCACTACTTCCACATCTTTCTCCTTTTCTTCTGTTCCTGTGGTATCATCTTTGCCACCTGGCTGACATGGCCCAGATTCTTCCAGTCCCTCTACAGGCTGAGTCTTCTCTGTGGATCCTGATTGGTCTGTGGCATCCTTTGCAGGGGCTACATCTTTTGCCAGGGGCTGCTCCTGGAGGGATTTAACACCATTGGCTGTACACACTGCTGAAACCTTGAGCTTTTCTAATGGAGGAAGGCCTTCCCTCTGTATGTTGCCAGAAAGAGTAGACTCTTTTCCCATTGTACATGGTTTGGGTTGGGCAAAACAGGACTTGTTTTCTTCAGTGGTTGAGAAATACTCATTTGAAGTTACTTTTTGGTCATTCATTTGAAAAATAAAGAGAAAAGAAAAAACACAAAATATTGTTTAGTCTTATCTTGACAAAGTGAATTGATATCAAAAAAGTAGATTTAACAGTTCAAGACAGTCCCAGGGTGATCTGAGTAGAGTAAGGCCACACCATGACCCTTATGCTCGCCAACTCAAATCCCTTTACTGTCTTCAGCTCAAACACCTCATGTTGAACTTTTAGGTCCTCTAAAACCATGGTTTTGTCCAGTTTGCTCCTTGTGTACCTTCTTGTGACTCCTGTCCCATATTCTAATTGAGCATTTTGCACTTTGTCTCCCAGTGTTTTTTTCCCTGTCTCACCCTTTCTCCTCCTTAGACTCAGTAGGTTTCCCGATGTGTGGTCCTTAAGCTGCTAGAGAGGTCTCACTTTCCTTCTAATGCAGAATGGCCCCTAGTGAGAGGAAAAGGCCCCATGACAGAGAAGCCCTAGTAGGTAGAGGCTAAGATGTCTGAGAAGAGAAGTGGCAGGGACAGTTCAGCCTGAGTTTCATGTCATTTTGGGGGTACAGTGACAAGAGAAATTGAGAGAGTTGGGAAACATGCATTATACTTCTGGCTCTTCCTCCATCTATGTGACCTTCAGAACTTGGCTCCCATGGTCTTGAGACAAAATGTGAAGTGAATCTCTCTCTCCCAACTATCTCAGAGTTGCCAGAGGCATCCTGTCACATTAAACAATAGGTGTGAAAGTGCTCTATACAGTTTGAGATAAGCAACTTGGCAACATGTTTATACTCTTTGACCCAGTAATTCTACTTCTGGAAATTTATCCTAAAAGCATAAACCTTAGGAAAATGTTCTAGGGAAAAATATATCATCCCAGTATTCTTTATAGTAGCAAAAGCTAGAAAACTACTTAAAAGTCTAATAAGTTGGGGATCAGATAAATATACCACTGGATGGAATATTATTGTACCATGAAAAAAAAAGATTATGAATACTATATAGTAAAATAAGAAAATAATTATGATGTAAGTAAAAAAATCAGCACTCATGTTTGGATTAATCAAATGAAATAATGCATATGAAGGGTTTATTAGTTCAAGGTCTGCTGTGCAATTAAGTGCTCAATAATTAGCTATCGATTTTATGTACAGTATGTTTACAGTATTGAAAGAAAGGAAGGGAGAGAGGAAGAAAGAGGAAAAACAAATCACAAATGGAGGGGAGAAAAGACTGAAAGAAAATAAGTCAAAATGTTAAAATAGGCCTCTAAGTGATATTTTCCCTCTTCTTTTTCTCCTGCAAAGATTTTTTTTTTCTCTTTCATTTTTTCCCTAAGTTACCTTCCACCCCAGTTATATATGCAGGTAGTTTAAGGAGTTATCTGCTTATCCAATGTAAGTTAAGTCAAGTAATACTCAGGTCTTCTGTCCCATTTCCCCTTCTCTACGGGCAAATATTTTAATGCTTTCAGTTGTTTTGCAGACATTTTTTCCATATCTCTAAATGAATTGTACTTCAGGACTTTTGGTTTGAGGCATTTGAGATAACTCCTGCTATGAAAGATAAGACTTAGCTCTTTTTCTAACCACCTCCACCACCCTTTACTCTCTCCCATTACACACTCACATTTCCTTTCAATTCAGTAATTGTGTATTAGTAATTAGGTAATTATTTAAAACAGTAATTATGTTGTAATTTGGATTATATCAATATTCAGTTATACATACATAAAACGACTATGTCTGCTATGAAGAACTGAGCCATATGCTAAGCTATCACTTTGTATAAACAATTTTTTATTTTTCCCTGAGTTAGTAATTGTCATGGTTTTTCATTTCCTTAGTTTACGTATTATCACTAGTTCAACTCACTGTTGATTATCTCTTTTTAATACAATTATTCATATCAAATAGCCTATCAGTTCCATCTAAATTAAGTAGGTGAGGTACTTAATGACGTACCTAGTACCACCAACCCCTGAGCCTTTTCAGGATCCTGTGGTTTCCAGGGTGGATCTCAGTTTTCTCTACTGCTGACATCAAACTGAGCTTTCTTTGGTATGCTAATGAGTTATCATATGTCTGCCTGCTTTCTAAATTCCAATATTGTTCTATTATTGTCTTTTCTTTTGTTCCTCCCATCATTGTGGGTTTAAACAATTTTTAAAAAATCTCTTTAGCCTCATTTTAGTGAGTTTCAGGAAAGCACAAAATGCCACGTCTTCAATCTGCCACCTTCAGCGATACCTCTAAAGATGCTTTAATAATTATTTATAAAGAAAAAAAGAAAACTTTCCAAATGAATACATAGAATGTATATAAAAGCAATTATGTACAAAGATGAGAAACCACAGACTCTCCTCCCTGGTATCAGAGAGTCATGTGAAGCCATAAGAAGCTGTAAACTGACAAACACAATGCCAAATGATAAGTGCTGTCATAGCTGCATACACAGAGTGGCAAGAGATCATCACACAGGGGTTGAGTGTCATGGAATCTTTCTGCGAGTTCCAGAAGGAGAATGCACGGGGGAGCTGGAGGACGATGTCAGAGGCTAGGACAGGAGCAGATCATGGAGGGCCCTGTAGGTGGTGCTAATGAGTTTAGAGTTTATCCTGAAGCATGAAGGACAAGAGCTGTGGGCAGGGCTTTCTTAAAAAGTTAAATAAATATACATGCACCATGTAGCTCAGCCATTTTACCCCTAGGTATTTTCCCAAAAGAAAAGAAAGCATATGTTCATACAAAGATTTATACACAAATGTTCATAGCAGCTTTATTTGGAATAGCCAAAAACCAGAAATGACACAAATCATATACTGTAAGATTCCATTTATATAAACTCTAGTGCCTATACAGAAAGAAGTAGTCTTAGAAATTGTCTACAGTCACAGAAAGTAGAAAAGTGGTTGTCCGCGGATGGGATTGGGATTGGGATGAGACAGAGTGGGGATTTAAAAAGGGGCATAGGGAAACTTTTGGGGGTAATAGAAATGTTTACTCTCTTGATTGTGTTGATGCTTCCAGAGGTGCACACATATGCCAAAACTTACTGAAATGTGCACTGTAAATATGAGTAGTGTACCATATGTCAATTATACTTCCAAAAACTGTTACTTTTAAAAATATAAAATAAAAGAAAAGAAAAAACCATTGTAAGCAGGTAGATGAATCAATTAGATTTGGATTTTAAAAACCTCACTCTGGAGATTGAATTAGAGGCAGGCAGCACAGAAGTCAATGTGACAGTGAATTATGAGAAAAAATAGGACACAGATATGAGAGCTGGAAATGGCCAGATGTAATGACTGATTTAGGGGGTGACAGGAGAGAGAGGGAGGGTGTAGGGAAACACTGATTCAGAGCTTGGATGCTGGAGATGGAAAACATGGGTGGACGGATTTGGGCTAGAGAAAGACATGAATTGTTTGCTTTGGGGCATAGAGATGTAGATTGTGCATCCTGGTAGTAAAGTCTGGGAGACAGTTAAACATACTGATCTTGGCTGGAAATAGAGGGATCTTCAAAAAGTTCATGAAAAGATTCATATTATCTTTTAATTCCATTTTTCCATGAACTTTTAAAAGTACCCTTATATATGTAATGGGCTGGAGCTGAGCTGTCTTATTAACACAATTGTTTTGTGTCTTGAGAAAGGGGTAGTTTTTGCATGGGGGCTTCTGTAAGGAGGGGGAAATGAGGAGAAGGTTGGTGTGGGGTGTGTGTTACAACATCCTTATCCCCATTCTGCCTCAGGGTCTGGGTGTGAATCCTGCTGTGGAGAGGGATTAGAGGCCAAGAAGCAGAGCTAAGGAAGGATTTTATGAGATGCAGGGCACAGGCTGTAGGCTGGGGTTCATGTGAGAGAATTGGGAGAGGGCTGTCCTTCACCTCCCCCTCCTGCCTCATCATGTATGAAGACTTTAAATTAACAGCAAGTAAGGCAACTTAATAAACATGATTTCTCAAGTCTATAAGGAAATTCCTCATGACATTTAGATACTCATTTAGATACTACACAAAGGATGTTCTGGTGATAATTGCCTTAGGGAATTAACAAGGAAATGTGTTAATGTACTAATTACAGATGTCTGCCAAATTATATTTTCTGATAAAATCCTTATTACAGTGATCAGTACTGTCAGTTAAATGAGACAAACCATTTTCATCCACTGAGCCAGCTGTGCCTGCATTCTAAAGGCATCATTCTTCTAGAGGAGAAAGTTATGTGGGGAAAATGTGTTGACATACCCATAACATAGCCACACAATGTTGTATTTTGAAAAATATACTAAGCTATCTGTCTAAGTCAAGTTTTGCCCCCAAACAAAAAGCTTTCTGAAAATTTATTTCTCCACTAATGGTGCCATAAGTGACCAAGTGATCTGTCAATTTTTGCCACAGCTAGGACATTTAAGCCATATCACAGTGTCAATTGTCATTATTATGTACTTTTCGCAATCTTACTGGTACACTGGAAGTAGGCAAGTGTCCTCAACTATAATTTTATAAAACACAACCTGAATACAGTCAACCAAGCTGGGAAATATTAAAAAGGATGTCACTGTCTTGAATATTTTTCTGAGGTAGCCCAAGGGAGATAAAATATCTTTAAAATGATGATAAATATTTTTTTAATTCTAAAAGTGTAGTGACACATTCATTTTGTAATTTATATTGATTAACTGCACTCTAAATTTTGAAATGACTGTATTTTGGAGGTAATAGCTCCTAACGAATAGGAGTTCCTTCTCCTATGTGTTAAAAGGGCACAATCTGCTCTTAAAGGGAGCACAGAGATCTTACCACCTTGAAAATGACACCTGTAACTAGTGGGTTTGAATACTGGTTTCTGCACTTACTAGCCAGATTAAGCCTCTTCATGCCACGGTTTCATCACCTGTAAAGTAGGACTAATATTAGTACTAACGAGGGAGCTATCATGAGGATCAGATGAGCTAGTATAGCGACAAGCACCCCATTAAGTGCCAATCAGTCTTAGCCTTACCATTATTATACCTTCCTTAATGG